AATAAACCTGCCTTTTGTGCGCTCCGCATACAGCTTGCACACATGTGGGCTGGGGTGCTGAGTGCAGAGTGGTGGAAAGAAATAGAAGATTCCTGGACAAAGAGAACACAGAGCTGCCTAGAGACCTTTGAGGAGAGACTGGAGATAGAGGCGTTGGGGAAAGAACTGGAGGACCAGCTGGGGAGCCCTGGAGCTAACTCCTTCCCCACTCCGTAGTCTCCATTTTGCGCAGGCACGCCATGACCCCAAAGAGGCAGCAGTGGGAAAGGAAATAATAGCCCTGCCCTCAGGACAGTCTGGCCCGGACAGGAGTTGTGTGCTGGCCTTGGTGCTGAGTGCAGAGCTGCTTGCAGAGATAGTAGACCCCCGGCTAAAGGGGACACAGAGATGCCTAGAGACTCTTGAGGAGAGACTGGAGGCGGAGGCATTGGGGAGAGAACTAAGGGAGTAGCCGGAGGGGATCCCGGTGCTGACTCCTTCCCCAGTCCACATTCTCCATCTTGCTCAGGTGGACCACTCCTCTGAGTGACAGCAGCCTATAAGGACAAGATAGTCCCGCCATCAGGAGGCACTGCTCTGCCCTGTGGTGCCTAAGCATGACAGATGAGGACAGAGTGACCAGATTGACAATTGCAGGAGACAGACACAGACAGTAGATTCCTGGAGGGCTCAAACAAACGGCCCAAGGTCAGATGGGGTCAACAACTGACATCATCAGAGGCAGTCCCAGAAATAAAAGAAATGAAAAAATTAATAAATAGAAAGACTCACTTAGTACCATAGAAGTTTAATCCACAAAGTCAGGAAATCTAGACGGATCAATTGAAGCAGAAGCAAAAAAAAAAAAAAAAAAAAAAAAAAAGGCTCTCACAAATAATGGAAAGGAAAAGAAGTTCCCCTTAAATGAGGGGAAAGAAGGAATCCCCACAGAGAGACCTAAATGAAATAGAGACAAGTGAATTATCAGATATTGAATTCAAAACAATGGCTCTAAGGAAGCTGAGTGAACTCAGCCAGCTCAAAGCAAGGGAAAAAAGAAGAGTCTCACAAATAATAGGAAGACAAAAAAATACCCTCCAATTGAAGGGAAAGGAGGCATCCCCGGAAAGAGAACTAAAACAAATAAAGGCAAGTAAACTATCAGATATTGAGTTCCAAACAATGGTTCTAAGGAAGCTCAACGAGCTCAGTGAGCTTAGAGAAAATTACAAAAAACTACAGGAAAACTATGAGGAACTTACTGCAAACTATATCAGCATGAAAAAGGACACAGAAACTATCAATAAGACACAAGAAGAAATGAAGAATACAATTTCTGAATTGAAGAACACAGTAGAAGGACTCAAAAGCAGGCTAGATGAAGCAGAGGATCGAATCAGCGAGCTGGAGGACAAGGTAGAAAAAGCTCCCAGAAAGAGCAAGAAAATGAGAAAAGACTCAAAAAGAATGAAGAGGCATTGAGGGAAATGCAGGGCAACCTGAAACATAATAATATCTGCATAATAGGGATACCAGCAGGAGAAGAAGAGGACCAAGGGATAGAGAACCTCTTTGAAAAAGTAATGATGGAAAACTTTTCTAATTGGAGGAAGGAAAAAGTCACACAAGTCCAGGAAGCTCAGAGGGTCCCATTCAAGAGGAACCCAATGAGGCCCACTCCAAGACACATCATCATTGAAATGGCAAATATCAAAGACGAAGAAAGAATCCTAAAGGCAGCAAGGGAGAAACAGGTAATAACATACAAGGGAGCCCCGATACAGCTAGCAGCTCACTTCTCAACTGAACACTACAAGCCAGAAGGGAATGGCAAGAAATATTCCAAGTCATGAAAAGCCAGGGCCTACAACCAAGGCTGCTCTATCCAGCAAGGCTCTCGATTAAAACAGAAGGGGAAATAAGGAGTTTCCCAGACAGAAGAAGGCTAAAAGACTATGTCTCCACCAAACCAGCACTGCAAAATATGCTAAAGGGACTGCTTTAAGATGAAGAAAAAGTTTCTATGAATACTCAGTTCCTTTCAGATTTGCCAATACTTGATGTTACCAATATTTTTAATACTCATTAATATGATTGTGACAATGATGTTATTTTAATTGTTCCTTTATTGTTTGTTGAAACTAAACCTGTTTTAGTATATTTCTTGCCTATTTCTATTATTTTTTTTTTTTAAAAAAAGCTTTCAATGACTTTTTGGTATTCTTTATCCATTTATTGATTAAAGGTTTGTAGAACTTTTTTCCCTAAAAAAACAAAAAAACAAAAAACCTATTAACCGTTTTTTAGATGTTGCAAATACTTTCCTATTCTATTCCTTGTCCTTTAACTTTTTTTATATGTATAGTAGTATGTAGTTAAATGTTTAATGTAGTCATATTGTCAATATTTACTTTATACCTTCTGGGGTTGAATATTTTACTTCGGGTCATGGAAAATATTAGTTCTATTTTCTTCTAAAACTCCTTAGATTCTACATATTGATTTTTAACTCACCTGAATATTTCTTGTGTAATGTGTAATAGGGCTCTATATTTGTTTTATTTCAAGTAACAGCGGTCCATGCACCTTATTTGTTGAATAAACCTTATTTTACCCATTGATTTGAAATATCAATCATATGTTACAATGTTAGACATGTTTGTTTCTAGAATGCTAATTTTATTTCATTGATCTACTTGATTATTTCTGTGGTGTCATGTTGTTTTAACTGCTGAGACTTTGTAAAGAATTTAAATTTTTTAATATTTTATAATGAATTTTGACATTTAAAAAAATAAATAAAATCAATCTACATTTAAAAAAATAGAAGGAACTCCTACGTTTTGCAACAACATGGATGGAACTGGAGAATATTATGCTAAGTGAAATAAACCAGTCAGTAAAAGGCAAATACCATATGATCTCACCTGTAAGTGGAATCTATTACAAAATAAACCACAGGCATGGAAACATGGAACAGACTGAAAGTGACCAGAGGGAAAGGGGAAAGAGGACAATGGTGGAAAGAAGGGGAAGAGACTAAACAAAGAACATGTATGAATGACCCATGGACATGGACAACAGTGTGGGAATTGACTGAGGGAGAGGGGTGTGGGGAAGCCAGGGAGGTGGGTGGAGGAGGGCAAAGGAGGAAAAATTGAAAATAATAATAAAAATGTATTGTGTGATTTATATTAGGTGTAGCAACAGTATAAAATAAATGACAAAAAAGACAAGAGGGAGAATTGAAGTATACTGTTGAAGAGGTCTTAAAATGCATGTGAAGAGATATGGGTTGGAGCAAAAAGTTCATTCTTTTTTTTCCATATGATGGCTCTAGTAGCACTTAGTTGTCTTTAACTTGATTCAAAACAATTTTGTTATATTGTATTGTGACAGCTGTTATATCAGCATGCATTTTAAAAAGAACTCATCAAAATTGGTGAATTTTTTTGAAGCCATTTTAATACTAAAGATGGAAGAAAATAAGCAACATTTTTGGCATATTATGCTTTATTACTTCAAGAAGGTAAAAACACAACTGCAAAGCAAAAGAAAAAAAAAGATTTGTGCAGTGTATGGAGAAGGTGTTGTGACTGATCAAACGTGACAAAAGTGATTTGTGAAGTTTCATGCTGGAGACTTCTCTCTGAACGTTGCTCCGTGGTCAGGTAGACCAGTTGAAGTTGATAGCGATGAAATTGAGAACAATCAATGTTATGCAGGAAATAGCCAACATACTCAAAATATCCAAATCAAGCATTGAAAATTATTTGCACCAGCTTCATTATGTTAATTGCTTTGATGTTTGGGTTCCACATAAGTTAAGCAAAGAAAACCTTCTTGACCGTATTTCCACATGTGATACTCTACTTAAACATAAAGAAAACCTTCTGTTTTAAAAAAAAATGTGATGGGTGATGAAAAATGGATACTTTACAATAATGTGGAAGAGTAGAGATTGTGGGGGCAAGTGAAATGAACCACCACCAACCACACCAATGATTGGTCTTCATCCAAAGATGATGATGTTGTATATGTGGTAGGATTAAAAAGGAGGCCTCTATTATGAGCTCCTTCTGGAATCAAATGATCAATTCCAACAAGTATTTCTCCCAATTAGACCAACTGAAAGCAGCACTTGATGAAAAGCATCTGGAATTAGTCAACAGAAAATGCATTATCTTCCATCAGGATAACACAAGACCACGTTTCTTTGATGACCAGGCAAAAACTGTTACAGTTTGGCTGGGACGTTCTGAATCATCTGCAGAATTCATTCAGACATTGCACCTTCAGATTTCCATTTATTCCTGTGTTAACAAAATTCTCCTAATGGAAAAAAATTCAATTCCCTGGAAGACTACAAAAGGCACCTAGAACTATTCTTTGCCCAAAAGATAAAAAGTTTTGGGAAGGTCGAATTATGAAGTTGCCTGAAAGATGACAGAAGGTAGTGGAACAAAATAATGACTACATTGTTCAATAAAGTTATTGGTGAAAACGAAAAATGTGACATCTATTTTTTTCTTCAAAACTGAATGAACTGCAAACAAGCAATCATTTTGGAGTTTCCTCTTAAGATGAAACTCATTTACCATCCTTGCCCTAAACCAATTCAAAACCACTTTCTGAATCATTGTCAGGGGCTTTATCATTCAAGCCCACCCAAGAAAACAGAAACCAAGCCAGAATACAGTGTCACATTAATTATATCATTGCATTCCAAGCAAGGAAAGAATATCTTGGAGAGATTTCATAATCAAAAGAGATTAACTGAACTCGTTTTAAGTCCTCAGCAGAAACTGAAAAGATGTCTGACTAGTTACTGAGTTTTATAATAAAACTCAATGAATTAAAAGTGTACCTACTATTACAAGAGCAGTCGTTGATTAGTTATTTTTAAGTTGGTGGTATAGATGTATTGGCATACTGGAGTGAGCCTAATAGTCAAGGGCATCAATCTGGATATCATACAGAAAGAATGAAGAACACCCCCTTATCCATTTAAATATAGCCTGACAGAATTTCAACCGAAATGACAAGAACAGATAATCCTTAGATGTTTACATGGATCTTGCCATCTCTAGTAACATCTTCAAATATAAAAATTATGAAAAATAGGGGTCAACAAAGAAAAAACTAAGATTCCTTTATCAGCATAATATATTGTCAAATGCTTGCAAGTACATTCAGGTGTTCACAGCAGAGAACCTACAAGGACAACTACCAAAACTAAATAAATAAATAATAAAATAAACATATTAAGCTTTTATTAAGTTAGTATAATTCCTATGATGTTTAGTGTATTTCAGTCACAACTGATGCTCCTTTCTTTAAGTTTTTATAATCAATATATGGAAGGCATGCAACGATAAGTTCTTCTTTTGTACATCCTTTAAGGCAACACTTTTCTGAGTATCCTCTGCGTATTCTTTGAGGATGATTCCCCCTAATCAATTTCCTTAAGGTTTTAATTTTGTTTGTATTTTTCTTCTGATATTCTATAATCTCATGAACATATGAATCAATATCTTGCGATGAGGCAAATTCTCTTGTCTTATTAGGTAGCAAGTAGTCCTTTTTATATTGATGCTCAGGAGGTGACTGCATCTCCACATTGTTTATTGATTCTTTCTGAGAGGCAGAAGTAGAGACTGTTGAGAGATGAGAAAAAATTCTACTTTATTAAAATCTTCCTTTACCTGAAAATTTAATCAAAATACTGGAATACTAAAGTCAGTTAATTATTCAAAAGCAACATATATTTTTAACTAAAATGCTTGTGGGTACTATTTTCCTATGAAAAAGGCTTAGAAACCTTTGCACATGTTTACGCAAAAAGGATTTTTTGACATATTATTCACATGCCATAAAATTCAGCATTTTAAAGTATACAATTCTGTGATTTTTAAAGTATATTCACAAGATTGTGCAACCATCACCACTATGTAATTCCAGAACATTTCTATCACCCCCGAAAGAAACCCCATATCTGTCAGTAGTCTCTCCCTTTTCCCTCATCCTTCAGTTCCTGAAAACCACTAATCTACTTTCTATTTCTATGGATTTTGCTATTATGAAAATGAAATCATACTATATATGGCCTCTTGTGTCAGGCTTCTTTCATTTAGCAGAATGTTTTCAAAGTTTGTCTATGTTGTAGCATGTATACATACCGCATAATTTACTTATGTTTATTATCTATCTTCTCTATTCTGCAAGCTTCATGAGGACAGAAGCTTTTACTGCCTCCTGAGTGAAACTATATTCACCTATATATCCCTACTACCTAGCACATAATAGGTACTCAAATTTTGTTAAATTAATATATAGAGAGGAGTCTTACAGGGCCCAGTTTTGAAAATGATATCTAAAAAACAAACAAAAACCAAGAATAGATGAATTAAAACCAAAAATAGGGGAATATGGCCAATCTAACTGGAACAGATATTATAAATTATGAAAAGCTGGTGATGAAACATTGATGGTTTCACCTGGCACTAAGAGCTGGGAAGCACTATACTCAGCCAGATTTTAGAAATATGGTGTCAGCTTCATGAAGCCACATTTTGGGGTAGGTCTTGGAGACATGGACCATACCTTCAGGGTACCCAATTTCATATTCAAGATATGTATGAGTAGCTCTGGGGAAAAAAAAGCATTTTTGGTACCAATTTTTTTATAGTACCAAACTATATTTTCCTGTGTCAGATGTAAGTAGGTCATTAGATTAAAACAGTAGATGATTTCACTTACATGTGGAATCTAGAAAGCAAAATAAATAAGCAGAACAGAAGACTCGTAGATAGAACATTTGGACAGTTACCAGATGGAAGAGGGGTTGAGGAAAATAAGTGAAAAAGGTGACAGGATTAAGTAGTACCAAATGGTTGCTACGGAATAGTCATGGGAATATAAAGCACAGCATAGGGAATATAGTCAATAATATTGTAATAATTATATATTACAGAATGATACTAGGTTTATTGAGGTGATAGGTACTGGATTTACTGAGGTGATCACTTCATAAGTTATGTAAATGTCTAATTATAAGATTGTAAGCTGAAACTAATATTGCATATCAACTGTAATTTTAAAATAAAAAAATTGTTAATAACTGACTTGATCTAACACAGAAATGTGTCCTGCTGATACAAGCTAAATAAAAGTTAACCAACTTTGCAGCTACATTCATATGCAAAAGAGATGTCACAATTATATATTCTATATTGAAATTCTATATTGGAAACACATACCTGTATCTCTCTACAACTTCTAATTATTCACTAGAAACTAACAGATCAGATTAAATGTTATCTTCGCTTATAAACGTTTAAAAGATTTTAATTCAAATTCATATTGCCAACCTAAATCCATATTCCTTTCTTCCATATGGTTTAAAACTATTGTTTTATTGCCACAGAATGTTTCCACTTCAGCAAAATGTCCTTTACATAGTTCCCACAGTAACATGTTGAATGGGTACGACATTTCTGAAATATTGTCAGATATATTTTTATTTCCCATAAATCTTGTTTGATTGCAGCGCTCTCTTCATTGAATTAATTACACATCCCCCCAGGGAAGTATGAATGTTATCTGAAACAAAGGGGTCATTAATCAGCTCTGAGTTTTTAAAGTTAATTTTTTTAAAAAATAAATAGTCTCCATAGCAGACTTTGTCAAGAAAAGGATGTAAGCATGTCCTAAGGTGAGGATTAAAAAAAAAAATTCTTCCTAAAGACTGCTTAAATTCAATATATATTAAGCACATACAATATGCTAGGCCCTCTGCTAGGCATTTCAGATAAAAACACGCATAAGATAGTCCCTACACTATGGTATGGTTTTTAGGAGGCTGTAGTTATGGGAATAAAGCTCATATAGTTAGTAGAGCAGACCTAGTGCTTAGAAGGACCCTGAATTTTGTCTAATGCTCTATTGTTGCAGTTTTGAAATTCTCAATAATTTTATCTTCGAACTTCTAAGTGAAGTCTGATGGGACAATGGACCATGTGTAAGCAGGAGATTTGCACGAGAAAGAGGAAAAACAGCTATATATTTCAATAACTTCAATGGCCCTTTCCTGCTTTTTGAACAAGGGGCCTTGCATTTTCATTTTGCACTAAGTCGGGCCAATTATGTAGCCACTCCTGATGACAGTCAAATGGAACTGTGGTGAAGGGAGTAGCTACGGAAGGGTCAAAGACGACTTCACAGGGAAAATGATATATGTTAGCCTTTGAAGGACAAAATGGAATTTGCCAGGTTACAATAGTACTGAAGAAAGGGAAAGCTAGGGAAGAAGCAGCATTCTTACATAAATGTGTAGATTTACATATGTACATTAATTTCCTCTAAGTAAAAACAAAAACAAAAACCCTTCTTAGCGGTTTTGTATATCCACAATATACTGGTTTATAATTTAAAAAAAAAATTTCCTGTGTACTACACACTAAGTCCATTTCTTGGGGAGGCTCACCATCTGGCAGAGCAGATTCCGGGATAGGAAATAAACAGAGATAAACACGCCTTTGATTTAGATTTTTACCTGCGCTTGTGCCTTTTCCCCAGACCCGGGCAGTGGTTTGGGAGCTTTTCAACCGGTCAGGGATGAAGCTTTCACTTTTCTTCGACGTCTGGGGAATCAGCTGTGTTTTGAAGGGGGTATTCTCCTCAAAGTGGCTCCAGTCAGCATCGCCACAGAGCTTTACTATTCTTTCCAGCAGGTGCCTCCCGCACAGCTTCCTGGCTCTGCTTCCGGAGCTTTGCTCATCAGAGAGCCGAAGCGGAAGGAGCCAGAGCCCCAACAGACCGAAGCAAAGGAGCCGCGGCATCCCTGAGCCCCCAAGCCCGGTCTGCCGCGCTCGCTAACGGCCGCACGCCCCCGCGGTGGCGCTCGCGCCGGCGCCGACCCGCGCCGCCCGCACACCCGTCGGTCTTCCAAGCGCATGCGGAACTCGTGCGAATGCCAGGACCTGGTGGTGCGAGGTGGTGGTCGGGCCTCACTTCCTCAGAGAAACCGCTTATTTTCTTCTTGGTGTTTATCTCAGTAGGTTTGTTCACATTCGTGTGCTTGCTTGAGAAGTACTTTTCCCAAATCCCCAAACTTCTTGGAAGTAGTGCCTGTGTCTGCTCTCGCTTCTCCTTGTTCCTCAGGGCCCGACTCGTACCTGGCAATGAAATATGTTGAAACGTGTGTGCTAGAAAATGCATATGTGTATTTTAAAGTCAGATTCAAAGTTTCTTCAGAAAATTTCTACCAGTTCTGCAGGGAGAAAGGGGCGTAAAGTGCGTGGGGTGAAAATCTGGTTCTTTTTGTTACAGATTATAAAGGATTGTCTATTGCCAAATTGTAACTAGCGTGTGACAGGGACCTGTAGAGGATTTGCCATCTAAGAGTAACAGAATTTTGCTAAATTAGGAGGGAAGGGACAGGGAAGTGCAGCGCAATCCCTATGGGTCCTTTTGCCACTTTAAATGAAACTTTATCTGTGTGTTGGCTGTGAAGGAGGTACTGCCAACCACAAGGGGCAGCCAGGAACTGTCTCAGAATAGATTTAAGGATGCCATAGCTTCAGAGAGCTGCCTGCAGCTGTCAGTAATAATCACCGTTTACATTTTATTTTTCTGCCCTCTGGCTGTGTCTTTTTCTACATTTTCTCTTCTCCCAGCTTTGCCCTGCTTTCCAGTGGCATCCATGAGTGTGGTTAAATTAACTGGCAGGCAGATATTTATTTGATGTGATGTGATTAGCACCACTTCATTGCCTTCCTGGAAAAACAACTAATGTCCAAACTACAGTGGGCTTTGAGTCCTAGTCAGAACTTTATCCGTGAACCCTGTGAGAAAGGAAAATATTTGTTATACTGAGAAGATTAAAAAAAAAAAACTCTCAAGCAATATGTGTTAGAAACTAGCAAATTTAATTTGTATTCTCATTCTCTTTGCACTTACTATATCCTTGCCCTTTGTATTTCTTCATGCTATTCATTACAAACTGACACACTCTATGTTTTACTTCTCTGTATGTGTACTATTTGCCTGCTCTTACCAGAATGTGAACTCCATGCGAGCAGTGACTTTATTATGTTTACCTTGATATCATCTGTCTTGAACAGTGCCTGGCACATCGTTGGTTCTCAGCAATAATTTAATGTTAATAATTATAATTAATGATATTAATAAATAAATGAAATATTAATATAAACAACCTATAATATTTGATGAATGAAAGAATAAATGATTAAACTCCCTAAGAATTGGCTATGTGTTCCTTTATACTTTATTTTATACTTCTCATAATTATAGTTCTTTGTTGCACTGTGGCGAATTTTGAAAAAATCATGTAATCATCTCTTCTCTATTAGTTGTAAGCTCGTTAAAGAGTAAAACAATTTTTAAAAGTTTTTTATTTATTGATTTTAGAGAGAGAAGGAGAGAGAGGGAGAGACAAACAGACATTGATTTATTTTCCACTTATTGATGCATTCATTGGTTGAGTCTTATATGTGTCCTGACCAGAAATTGAACCTACAGCATTGGTGTATTGGGATGATACTCTAACCAACTGATCTACCTGGCCAGAGCAAGGAGTGGAATTATTTTTGTTTAATATTTATTATCGAAGCCTAGGACAGTATCTGCTAAACAGACCCTTAATAAATATTTAATGAATGAATGAATACATTCTAACTGCCAATATTAATTACTATGTTTACTAGCAAGAGTTAATGAACTTAATGAATTGAGCAAATTATTGGTGAAATGATTTAGTTTGAATGAATAAGTTACTGTTATTACTGAATGAACTCCTGCCTGACATATATATTAGTTTCCCCTCCTAGCTATCTTATTCTAGAATATTTTCATAAATGGGAGCTGACCAATAAATTACATTTGAGTATTTATATGTGAGAATTTCATTTATGAAAGATAAAACATGGGATTGTTAGGAATTACACTAGAATATTTGTTTCTCAAGTTATTTTTAGCATTTTGTGTTGATATCTTGATATAGGAACTGGGATTACCATGGTTTAATCCTTTTTTAAAAGTATATTTTATTGATTATGCTCCTACAATTGTCCCATTTTATTCTTCCCTTTATCCCCCTCCACCCTGCACCCCCCCCCCCATCCAACCTCCACCCAACCTCCAGCTCTCTTAGTTCCTGTCTATATGGATAATACATGTAAGTTCTTTGGCTTCTCCATTTCCTATAGTACTCTTAACCTCCCCCTGTCTATTTTGTACCTACCAATTATGCTTATTCTCTGTACCTTTTACCCCGTTCTCCCCCTTCCCCTCCCTGGTGCTAACCCTTCATGTGATCTCCATTTCTGTGATTCTGTTCCTGTTCTAGTTGTTTGCTTAGTTTGTTTTTATGTTTTTAGGTTCAGTTGTTGATAGTTGTGTTTGTTTTCATTTTACTGTTCGTAGTTTTGATCTTTTTCTTTTTCTTAAATAAGTCCCTTTAACATTCCATGTAATAAGGGCTTGGTGATGATGAACTCTTTTATTTTTACCTTATCTAGGAAGCACGTTATCTGCCCTTCCTTTCTAAACGATAGCTTTGCTGAATAGAGTAATCTTGGATGTAGGTCCTTGCTTCTCATGACTTTAAATACTCCTTTACAGCCCCTTCTTGCTTGCAAGATTTCTTTTAAGAAATCAGGTAACTTTCTCCTTTTCTCTTGCTGCTTTTAAGATTCCTTATCTTTAATCTTGGGTAATTTATTTATGATGTGTCTTGGTGTGTTCTTCCTTGGGTCCAACTTCTTTGGGACTCTCTGAGCTTCCAGGACTTCTTGAAAGTATATTTCCTTTGCAAGATTAGGGAAGTTTTCCTTCCTTATATCTTCAAATAAGTTTTCAATTTCTGGCTCCTCTTCTTCTTCTTCAGGCACCCCTATGATTCAGATGTTAGTACATTTAAAGTTGTCCCAGAGGTTTCTAAGCTTCTCCTCATTTTTTTGAATTCTTTTTCTTCATTCTGTTCCAGGTGAATGTTTATTTCTTCCTTCTGTTCCAAACTGTTGGTTTGAGTCCCAGTTTCCTTCCCTTCCCTGTGGATTCCCTGTATATTTTTCTTTATTTCACTTTATGTAGCCTTCACTTCTTCCTTTATTTTATGGATGTACTCAGTAATTTCTGTGAACACCCTGATTACCAGTGTTTTGAACTCTGCATCTGATAGGTTGGCTATCTCCTTGTCGCTTAGTTCTTTTTCTGGAGTTTTGATTTGTTCTTTAATTTGGGCTATATTTCTTTGTCTTGGTGCACCTGTTACATTGTAAGGGATGGAGCCTTACATATTTGCCAGGGCAGGGCAACCCAGTTCATTGTGATGCTGTATGTGGGGGAGGAGTCAGAGAGGGAACAATGCTGCTTGCCTGGCTCTTGTCTGGCTTTCAGTCACTTCCCCTACTACCCACAAGTGAGTTTTGCTCTTCTGGGCTGATTCCCAGTTGGGTGGGTTTGTGTACATTCTAGGACCCTGTGGGTACCCCCAACAGACTCTCCTGTGAGAGTAGGGGTTTCTTCCACTGCTACAACCTCCACAGGTTTTTACAGCCAGAGGTTTTGAGGCTTTATTTCCCATGCTAGAACCCTGGGTTGCGTTTCACTGCCCTGTTGGTCCATTTCACTGCCCTCTTGTTCCTCCCAGTTTATCTGTGTGTGAATGTGGGATTGCCTGGTCTACAGGCCGCCACCCCACCTGCCAGGTCTGTCAGCCACTGTCTTGTGGTGCATCATTTCCACCTGGCTATCCATCTCCAACCCTCCTGTCAGTCTGAATGTTTCTTCTTTAAGTCTTTGGTTGTCAGACTTCCATACCGTTCGATTTTCTGGCAGTTCTGGTTGTTTTTTGTTTTTAAATTGGTTGTCACCCTTCTTTTGGTTGTGGGAGGAAGTGAAGTGTATCTACCTATGCCCCTATCTTGGGCAGAAGTTGCCCCAGCTTCTTCATTTTTAATAAATTGATGTAAGTCCAAGTTCTGTCATCTAGTTGGGGATTTAGCATCAGACATTATTCTAATGGGGCTATCATACCCTGTGCTTGGTACCCCACATCACCAAAACATTAGGTCCCCCGGACCCATAGTTTTCACTGACTCCTACTATGACGCTTACTACCCTAGCATGCATGGTCCCTTCAGTTTTGGTGTTTTCCTGCCTTGCTGTGCATCGGAAGAACTTTGCAAAGCATGCTTGTTTCTCTGCTCAGGCTCTTATTTCCCTATGTGTACCACACAGTCATCCCTTCTGAGGTCTTTGCCTCTCCAGGGCACTGCCACTTAGCACTACACATCAGTAACCTTTTGTTTTAGTTCTCATGGCCTTCAACTTTAGTATAAAGAAAATATCTATCTATCTATCTCTATCTCTATATTTCTCTTGTCCATTGGGGCCACTTGCATAACTTGTGGCTGATTCATATATTTATAGATCATGGGAGGGAAAACTTTAAGAAGCTTCAACTTTCTGTCCTACAAAAGTACATGAGGTAGGGAAACACTAAGGCTCTGGATACTTGATTTGAATTTGTGGGAAGGTATGGGAGGCTGAATTGAAACATACAGGGAATAAAAATATCTTAATTATCTTGCTACACACTCTGACCTTGCACATTATCAGTGTCTCCTTCTGCATAGGAATCTTCCTTTATTTCTAATATTTTTAATAAACAATGAAAACTGTCCTTACTTCAATTCCTCCTCTGTCAAATCAATAGAACTGCTTCTAGTTCTTCACCGCACATTTCCTTTGGGACCCACTATGAACTGTTCCCTACCTGCTAGATTCTACACTGTATTCCAACCCCAAAATTTGATCTTAACTTACTTCTCTTTTACTACTTTTTGTTATTTGACTCTATTGATGACCCTCTTTTTTAAAATTCTTTTCCTTTTTTTGCATTTTTGAAATAACATCATTCTACTTACATC